AAAAAAAAAAAAAAAAAAAAACAGTTGATAATTAGGTAAAGACCGAATTAAATGATCTCACCTAAAATTGTAAAAATTTTGTCTAACCAATTATAAATTTTTTAGATACCTCTTTAAATATAACAGGTATAAAAAAGTAGGAGAATTTAGTGTTACCTATAAATTGTAAGGAAGAGTGTTGTACAATTTTCAATAAATTTTTGAAAAAAAAAGTTATATAAGTGCCGTGATTCTTCAATTTTTTCCCTTTATTTTTTAATCACCGAATTCAATTCTGGTTGACTTACACAAGAGGAAAATTCTCTTCCTTTTTTTTTTTTTTTTTAAAAAAAAGATTATAATAATAAAAAAAAAAAAAGATTCTGTTGAGCAGGTCAAAAAAGGAAAAGGATTAACCGCATAAAATACACCATCTTTTTATTTTTATTTACAAGAAATTTATCAATCATGTATAAATTATTCTCGGCAATATCAATTTTTTTGTTGTTATTATCCACTACAACATTAAACGTCGAAGCACAGCTTAAAGGAAAATATCCTCCAGTTGATACACCTCCACCACCCGTAGCTGCTTGGACTGCTCTCGTAGATCAATCAAAATTACCAAAGGCTCCTGTTAGACCTATTGGGACCCCATGTGCCCCTACTGACGAATTTTGTGTCTGGTCTTGCACAACTTGTGTAAGAGATACTGATTTTGACTTTTGTCCTAAGAAAGGAGGTAATTAATCAAAAATTATTTAAGTGTGTATATATATATATCTCTCTCGTTTTTAATATTTGCTTTCAATTTCTTTTCAGATTGGGCTTTAACGTATGATGATGGTCCTACGTAAGTATTAACTATAGATATTACTTGTTAAATTTACATTTCTTATCGTACGCTCACGCATTCACACGTACATATTTTAGAAATAATACATTGAGAGTTCTTAAAGCGCTTAATGACAGAGGTCTAAAGGCAACTTTCTTTGTAATTGGAAGTAGAGTTTTTGAAAATCCCCAAATTCTCAAACAAATCGTTGATTCTGGTAAGTTAATTACTATAAAACTATAAATGTAAAGGATGGATTAATTTATTTTGTTGTTTGTTATTCTTATTATTAGGTCATCAAATTGGTGTACATACTTGGTCTCATACAGCTCTTACATCTCAAACTACTGAAGAAATTATAGCTGAAACAAAATGGACAGAAATGGCAATTAAAGAAGCCGTTAATTTAACTCCTAAATGGTTTAGAGCTCCTCAAGGAGATGCTGATGATAGAGTTCGTGGAATATTATCACAACTTGGTTATAAAATGGCTTTTTGGAATCATGATACATTTGATTGGGAATCAAATTCGGATCAAACTTATGATTTAAATTGGATCACAGGGAATTTTTCAATGTGGGTACAGAATAAAACTGCAACAACTGGATTTGCTTCTTTAGAACATGATGCTTTTGATAAATCTTCTTCGAAAGCAGAGGCTGCTATGGATATTGTTGTTAATGCCAAATTTGCCCCACAAAGTGCTGCTGTATGTTCGGGTGATAAACAACCTTATGTTGAAAATGTTACACTTCCCCCATCTAATATTAAAGGACAAGAACCCACTGCTAAAACTCCTAATGCTCCTAATGGTAAATCACCTAGTACACCTCCAGCTATTAGCGCAAGTGGCGCAAGTTCTGTTGAAAAGAACTTGTTGTTAGGCATTGTATGTGGATTAATAATGATGATTTTAGTTTAATTTCTAAAGCAAAAATTGCTAATTTCATAAAAGACTATTTTAAAAAATTTCGCTTTAGATTTTATTATTAATTAATTAATTTCAACTAATAATTTATCGGATCAATATAATTCTTCATTCTTTTATTATACACATTTTAGATTATTTTGCGGGAATTATTTTATTGAGCATAATCAGCATTTTTCCTTTTTTTCTTCTTTTTCTTTCTTTCTTTCTTTCTTTAGAAGTGATTTGCTTTATTTTACCGTATATTTTTGAATAAAAAAAAAAAAAGTATTGTACAAAAAATTTATAATTGTGAAATACTGCGCGGCACATTTTTTTTTTTGTGTAAAAAAATTTTATTCATTCTTATAAATAACTTATTCGCACTTTAATTCTTTACTATTAATTACTTATTTCGCACTTTAAACTANTTACCGTATATTTTTGAAAAAAAAAAAAAAAAGTATTGTACAAAAAATTTATAATTGTGAAATACTGCGCGGCACATTTTTTTTTTTAGTGTAAATAAATATAATTCATTCTATTAATTACTTATTTCGCACTATAATTCTTACTATTAATTACTTATTTCGCACTTTAAACTAAAATTATATATGATCTTTGTTTGAACTCTTTATTAATATAACAAAAAGGATGTACAAGATTTTACTATTTTTTTAATCATATTATAGTATTAAATGAAAATTAAATTTCCCTATTTTGAATAATTTTTTTTTTTTCTAAATTCATTTTTTTTTAATTGATCGTCCATTATGATAGAGAGATCAAATATTTTAATATTTCGGATTTACTTCGGGGTTCGGACAATCACAACATATAAGTATATGATTGTTGTATAAAACGGGAGAAAAAAAAAATGGTTTTTTTTTTTAAAAAAATTATCCCGAGACTTTTATTATACATATATTATACAAATGAACTCGTTTTGAACTTTAAAAAAAATATTAAATATTAATAATAATAAAAAAAAAATTCAATCATGATAAATCATTTATCCGCCGTACGATATATTTAATTAGGAAATTACGGATAATGATAAAATTTGATAGTATTGAATATGATATTAACAACCAATCAGATTACCGTAATAAAATTTGTGTAATTCTTGGCTAATGCAAGACCGGTTTTTTTTATTTTGCCAAGCTTTTTTTTTTTTTAAAACTGCAAATCGTAAACAAATAAACAGATTGTCATCATACTTACGAATGACAATAAGATGCCATAATAACGAAACAAAATCTCTTTATATTTATAAAAAACACATGAAAAGGCACTTAATTAACAATTTTCAAGGCTATTTGTTTGTTCCTCTCTTCTCTCTTTTTTTTTTCCTTGTCTTGGCAAAAAAGCACAAGTTTTTTATATGATTCTTTAGGTTAACAGGGTTAATTAAATAAAATATTTGGGGTGTCATAAAATGTACAATTAGTGTATTTAAAATATTTAGTGTTCAGGATAGAATTAAGGTTAATATCGTTGAGAATATTATTTTACAAACCGCAAAAATATTTGTCTAATATCGAATTGTTGTAATCATTGCTTTTGTTATATTGAACAAAAAATTTCGTTTTTGCATTTTTGTTTTGATAAAGATAAGATTTCGTTATTACTTTTTTCTAAATTTTTTTTAAATTATGCATATTTCTGCATAAATGCAGTATACAGATTTACAAAATTATTTTTAGATTTATCAAATTTATCATAAAACTTATTATTTACTAATCATTTAAGATTAATAAATTAAATGATTTTATAATTGCAGCTCTTTCTTAGATAACAGGAAGGCAATGACATTTAATGAGAATATAGGTATATCAACTTTAAGATAAATAAATTTTTTATTTTCAAATAACTTGAACACCAATGGATTCAGACAAATTATTATATCATGTATTATAATTCATTGTATCATGTAATTGTATCATGTATTGTATCATGTATTGTATCATGTAATTGTATCATGTATTGTATCATGTATTGTATCATGTTCAAATCTATCATTCCTATCTAGATTCCGGAAATATAAGATATTAAAAATATAGTAAAGATCGGGAATATTTTTTAAACTATAATAATTAAAGTTATTTATTGTTAAAACGATTAATGTTATGATCGGTCATTCATAATCACTTTGCATTATTCTTAAAAAAAACAAAGTCGGATTTATAAGGGGGATTATCTTGAAAAAAAAACCTGTAATCATTTAATATTACGTGATTATTATAATGATCAAATGTTAGTAAGCTTATTCAATTCTTATTCAATTGATTTCTTTATCAATAACGTAATGAAACTATAAATCTTTTTTTTTTATACTACATACATATATCATTATATTAATTATCATTTGTCATTTTATTCAAAATAAACTTTAATCGGTTAATTTACAAACGGTAATTTACAAACGAAAGTGTTTTTCGTCGATCACATGATAATTTAATCCATGTAAATCATGCGGGAGTTGAAACAAGGGTGGATTTTGACATAAATTTATTTATTATCTGTTATATTTGAATTAATATTGATTACATTTTACTATTTTGGAATAAAGTTCAATTGATTTGAAAAATAATCTACTTTCTTTTTATCGTATGACTTTTTCATTAAAAAATACTGGCGCAGTATCATCATGTGTTCATGTGATTATGTGACATCAGATAAATCAGTTTTCGTTTTCATTTTTTCAACTCGTTTTTCAGCTACGCGTTCACAAACTATCAGTGTTTCGGTCTGAAAGTCTGAGCGTATCGAGGGTGGTGATATCGTTGAATGGTCGCGTGGCGATGCTTGCACCCTTAAGTGTTTCATTGATAAAGATGGTTTTGGCCAGTAGGCACATTTCTTCGAATGGTCCACTGTATACAATGACACTTCAGTTATGTCTTCGATATTCGGCCGAGCGCAGTCATTCATCTATATTTTACTATAATTAAAAAGTCAAGTTAGTTCCATATGAAAGTTATAAGTACACAATCACGTATATTCAAGCATCGGTCATTTTTTTTCGAATACAGATTAAAAGTAAAACACGAAAACTTTATCGATTTTTCATATGAATAATGGTAGAGTAGCGAGCAAAATATGATGCCATCAAAGAGGGAGTGAGTACGTGGATCCTAGGCCATTTAATGTGAGTCTAAGCATCACATTTGCTCTCATAGGTTTCTTATAAATTTCTATACTAATCGTTTTTTCATATCACTCCTTTTTCTACAAACACGAAATAAATTATTTCTACAAAATTTTCGCCAATCTAAATCACTCTCGCCCGAATAATTTATATAGAAAGTATCGATTTTAACTAAGTAATTTCAAACCTACAGTGTAAATTCGAGAGATTAGCAATTTGATAAAATAAGCAATGTAATGTTACTAATTCTCTTACCATTACATCTCATTTTTAGAACATTACAGTCCTCGTTTTTAAGAAGTTTGACACTTACTAACCAGCACGATACTGCGCCAAGTATCAAGAATTCGACCAAAAATTTACTGCGATGTTAGATCACGGGATAATTAGTTTTATGATACTGCGCAGATAGCACGCGTGATGCCGAAAATTTTTGCAATATTGGTTTCTTTTTAAAAAAAAAAAATTGTTGAAAAAGATAATAAATTAATAAATTAAAATTAAGAAATAAAAATATTTAAGAAGGAAAATTAAAAAAAATTAATATTTGTCCAGTATTATAAATTTATTTTATTACTGTTATTACATAGTATATATCATGAATATATTTTATAAGTAAATTAGATTTATATTTTACAGTTTATTATTACCAATTTGATTTACTACTTAAAATAAAGATTAATTAACAATTAATTTAGTTAATTATAATTAAATAATTAATGATTAATTTAATTAATTATAAATTGATTAGTTTTTTACTTTTTTTTTATTTTTTCAATTTAAATAAAAAATACTATTGAATGTATAAAATTAAAATAAAAAATTAATAATAAAAAAATAATTTTATATTTATTAATAAATTATTATTTAAAGTTTTTAATAGAACTATTTTTTACAAATTTAATAAGTTATGTTTAAAAATATTTTAGATGATACAAAATCTAAATAAAACAATTGCTTATATTTATTATATCTAAAAATGAATTTTATTGTTATATGAAAATGAATGATAAGATCTTGAATTTTAACTAATGCAAGTATTATTATTATTTTTAATTTAAAGTATTATTTGCTTTTATTCATAATCTACTTATTATTCAATTTTTAAAATGTTTTAACTATTTCAAGTTATCAAATAGGAGAAATTCTGCAAGCAAACTATAAAAATAATATTTATGATAAAGTAAATTACAATATATTTATAATGTAAGATTGTAAGTACTAAACTTTTATTACATTCAATTTTTACAAAGTTTGCAAAAGATTATAGAAATAAGTATAATCTAATTAATAAATATCTATTTACTAAAACTTTCATTAAATAATTTCATCAACTGTCATACCGATAGATTCAACTATTCATCTCTATCAAATCTAAAATTTAAACCAAAAATATTAGTCATTATTAATTAAAATGTTAATAAAGTGATTTAATGTGCTTACATTCAATTTGCAGTTTTTGCAATAAGAAATGTGTATTAATCATAATCTTTGGTGCGACGAGAAGATTTTCTTTCTGATCTATATTGTTTGTCCGTTCTTCTTCTATTGTTTTCAGCTTTCTTCCTGCTCATACATTAAAAGTAAAATTATAAAACATATCTATCCATCTGTTTTTTTTAAATATTATTATACATACAATTGTTCGATTCTTTTCAGGGTTTCTTCACTTGGGGCTTTTGGTATTTCAGCAGCTTTCAAAATAATTTCATACAATTTATCAACACAATCTTCAATGTTTTTAACTTGAGAACGGGATTTATCTGAAGTTATCATGAATTCTCCCTTTTTATTAAGTCGACTTGCTTCCTATTTTTTAAAATATGGTCAGTTTATTGTTGGAGGATATGTATTATTATAATTAAAAGGAATTTACTTGAATTGCTAGTTTTTTCCTAGCGTATTCTGGTATCCATGTTGCTTCATTTAAATTAAATCTCATATCAACCTTTGTATTAACTTTGAATAAGAAAAGATTAAACATTAAATGAAAGATGAATATTAAAAAAAACTGAAATATTATTAATTTACCTTTATTCACATTTTGTCCTCCAGGTCCACTACTCCGTGCAAAAGTAAATGTTATCAAATCTAACAAAATCAAATTCTTTTTTTAATGTAAAGAAAAACAAAATAAGAATCGCATTAATGAATAAATAATTTTTTACCTTTTGGAATTTTTTCTTTTGTAAATTTTTTTAACCATCGTTCAGCTTGTTCTATCTCTTTCGGAGTATCTAAACTAGATATTGATCTTTTTATAGTATTAAATAAAGGAAATATAAATGAAAAATCTTTAACAATTCTGGTTAAAGGAAAGAGTTTTCGTGTTTGTGTTCTCGTTTGCGTTATTGATTTTGACAATGTTGATAAAGAATATTTTCTTTTATAAATATTTGTTGAATAGATAGAAGAACTTAATTTTATATAAGATACTTTTAGTACGCGTAGATAACTTATCGATTTCGGTAACATTTTTTTCAAACATTTGGAAAAGCCTGTGAAATTTATCGATTATGCATTGTCGATCCCATATAAGAACGTGACATGATCGTTGGAAAATTTTTTTTTTTAAAAAAAAATGAGCAGTAAACAGTTAATTTTGTCAACGTATCGCCAATTATTAAAAGAAGTTGACAAGCAGGTATTTAAAAAAAAAAATCTCATGATTTCCCATGAAAATTTTATTAAAAAATTTCTTTTATTCACAATGAAAGTTCACATATCGGAATAATAATAAATTATGGAGAGAAGAAGTAATAAGTACATATCAAAAAAATCGCGACTTATCAAATAAAGAAGAGATTGAAAATTCGACCAAATACGCGCTAGATATATTATGTTTCTTGAGAAGTAGCCGAAAATATAATGTAAGTAAAATTTGGTTTTAAATCATCGTTTTACATAATTAATTAAAAAAAACCACATATATTTAAGGAGCTCTTGGAATTAAACAATCCAGCTCATGGATATTCTGTAGAAAAACGTATTGAATTGACAGCAAATCGGGTTGGTTTGAAATTACCAATAGTCCCTCTTGCTAGAGTACTCGATGAAGAAGGGCCCGAACAAACTATTAACGAGAAAGAAATTTATACTGAAACTGACAAAGGTGAAATTTTTCATGACAAGTGATAAAAATAATTTCATGACTGAAAAGTAGTAAATCCTAGAATATCTAATTTAATAATAAGTATTAAAAAAAATGTTTGTTTTAATTAATAAAATAATAAAGTTAAAATCATAATCCTTATCACAAAATATTTCGTTAATTTTTTTGATTTTATAAATAATTGGTACTGTAATATATCATCGAATCTCTAGTTTCAAAAAGGATCGTAAAATTCATCATTTTTTTTTTTAAACCAAAAAATGTCCAGAAACGAAAAAAAAAATTATGAAATTTAGTTTTTTTTATCCACCAATCAAATCCAAACACATTAGTCCTTTAAAAAAATTGACTATAAATAGGCGTAAGCGTAAAATTTGATCTTTTCTCCATAAATTTCATATAGTTATGACAAACCTTGCAACTTCAAGAAATATTTTATTTATAGGAATAATTTTTCACGTGGCATACATATGGAGTATATTTGATATATATTTTACTTCGCCTCTGGTGCATGGAATGACGACACATAAGGTAGTTATTGTATTATAAACTGTTATTTTTATTTATTTATATTTTTAATAATTACATTACAACAGGTTGACTTACCACCACCAGCGAATAGACTTGTGCTTATAATAGGTAAATTGTTATAATTTTGTAAAATTATACTTGTTTCGATAAATACACCAAGATTGTATATTAAAAGGATATTTTAGGTGATGGATTAAGAGCAGACAAATTATATCAGCTTTATTCGGATGAATCAGATCAACCAATCACAAAAGCACCGTTTTTGAGAGATATCATTTTGAACCATGGTACTTTTGGAGTTTCCCATACTCGAGTACCTACAGAATCGAGACCCGGACATGTTGCTCTTATTGCAGGATTCTATGAAGATGTCAGTGCTGTAACTAAAGGTTTTATAAAAAAGAAGTTTTTTTTAATTGTTAATTTAATTAAATATCTTATTGTGAATTTATTAACTTATTCATTAATTGATTAGGATGGAAATCTAATCCCGTAGAATTTGATTCAGTCTTCAATCAAAGCAGACATACATGGTCATTTGGATCACCTGACATATTGCCAATGTTTGCCGATGGAGCTTCAGATCCTGATAAAGTTGAAACTTTTATGTATGGTCATGAATCTGAAAATTTTGCTAAGGGTAAAAAGAAATATTTTTTATAGTCTGATATATATTTTTTTTTTTGATTTTTTTAAACTAGAACAATTTATATATACATATATTATTAGATGCGAAGGAGTTGGATATTTGGGTATTTGATCAATTAGCTCAACTTTTTACAAATTCATCATCTAATGCTAAATTATATCAGCAACTTCATGATGACCAAATTGTTATATTTTTACATTTATTGGGATTGGATACAAATGGACATGTTTATGGTCCCCATTCTAAAGAGTATATAGATAATATTAAAGTTGTTGATGAGGGAATAAACAAGGCTGTTAGACTAATTGAAGAATATTATGGACATGATGGAAAAACATCTTACGTTTTTACTGCAGATCACGGGATGAGTAATAGAGGTGGGATCATTAAAGATTAATTAACCTAATTATTCGAAGAAAAATTTTCTTAAGATTTCACAATTTAGGCAATCATGGAGATGGACATCCAGATAACACGCGTACTCCGATAATTGCATGGGGCGCTGGCGTGAATAAACCTAATAAGACACATCCAACTGGGCATGATGAATTTTCTGCTGATTGGTATTTAAATGAAGTTCAGCGAAATGATGTTTTACAAGCAGATATTGCTCCGTTTATGGTATGTTGTGTTGTAATCCAAACATCTTTATTATAATTAAAAATTTTATTCATTTAACAAGTACATCCATCAATAGGCTTCCCTAATCGGAATTAATTATCCAGTCAATTCTGTAGGAGAATTACCTTTAGTATATCTTAATAATACACCTTTATTTAAAGCACAAAGTTTATTTGTCAATGCTAAAGAAATATCTGAACAGTATCAAGTTAAATATGGTAAGCATATATAATTTATTTTTAATTAGAAAGCATATTTTAAGAAAGTATAAATTATTTTTTATTTTATATTAGAATTAAAGAAAAGAACGGAAATAATGTTTAAGCCATTTGCACCACTCAGCAATTCTACTCATAATAGGGAAATATTACTAAGTAAAATTCAGGAACTTATTGATACTGAACAATATGAAGAAGCTGAAATCATGTGTGAAATTTTGATACAATTGTCTCTGGAAGGATTGAGATATTTCCAAACGTAAATATCTTTAAGATTTGTGTTTGTGATTTTATTTATCCTCGTCGAGTTGTTGTTACTAAAAACTTTTATCTTATAGGTATGATTGGCTAATGTTAAGATCTATCGTGACGGTTGGATATCTGGGTTGGATTTTTTATAGTTTAAAACACACTTTAAAAGAATATTGCTTACCGAACAATAATAGTTCAAATAGACATTCTGATCGAATAGCTAAATATGTACGTTCTTAATTTATTATTAATATTTAATTGTCTTCAAATATTAATTAATTTTGTAATTTTATTTAGGTTAACATACTAGCTATAATATCTTTAACTATATTAATGTCAATAATGTACATACAAGGATCACCTGCAACATATTACACATACGTAATATTTGCTGTTTATTTTTGTTGGAACAGTTTGCTAGATTATGAAACCTTCACGGAAAGTTGTAAATTAGCTTTAGGGTCGCGAAGTCCTTTTATACTTGCAGGATACATAATTGGACATATTATTGCGTTGGAAATTTTCGTAAGTGAATTCTAATATATACACATGTCTTAAATAAAATAATGATTTATCTATTTTTTTTTCTTATAGGTATACAGTTATTTTGAACGTAGCATTTTGAGCGGGTGTTTTGTATTGGGAGTATTATGGCCACTAATCATGCCATCAAGTTTTCGATCCGAAAATAAATTACTTTTGCTTTATTGGTCAATATCATGTTTGGCATCGAGTATTTTTACATTATTGCCTGTGGAAAAAGGAGAAGATATTTTGTTGGTGTAAGTATCTTTTAAATTTGATTGTTTATTAATACAATATTTTTCTTTACTTTTTTTGTGATTCTAGAATATTTTCTTGAATTCCTTTTAGGGTTTATGGTGGAATCTTGATTCTCATTACAGGAATCAATTCGATGGTTAAAAGTTCTAAATATATAATAGGAAACGATTCTGATTCAAAGACAATGATAATATTTCAGGTAAGAATTCAACCTTATATAAACTTACAATTTTTATTTATTATCTAATCTTCTACATTATTTATAGTTATTATTGGTGGCTTTGAGTATTATAATAGTTTATGATACGACAAATAAATTGAAATGGAGAGTTGGTCTTCCGATTTTAAACCAATATGCTGCCTGGATAATATTAGGTAAGTATGCATTTTTATCTTGAATTGGATTAATGGATTATTATTGAGCAAATGTTTCTTTAAAACAGCTATTTCCACGGCAACGCCATTCTTTTATGGATTGAGAAGAAAACAACACTATTTAAAAAGACTTACAACACTTTTTTTAGCATTTGCACCATTATTTGTTATACTCAGTATTTCGTATGAAGTATTATTTTATTATTTCTTAACACAAACAGTTTTGCTTTGGTTAGAAATTGAACGTAAATTATTTTTATTTGAACAATCAAAACAAAAACAACAAGAACAAGAAAGCCATCGTAAATTAGAAATGAGAGATTCAAGAATTTCATTGATATTTTTATTTTTTATTAAAGTAGGATTTTTTGGTACAGGAAATGTAGCAAGTTTGAGTTCATTTTCATTACAAAGTGTTTATAGACTTACAACAATATTTAATCCGTTCTTAATGGGAGGATTATTATTATTAAAAATATTAATACCTTTTTTTATCGTATCATCAGTATTTTATATATTAAACAAATCAATTAGATTATCACCGTTTAGTTTATTTTTACTAGTATTATCAATATCTGATATTATGACTTTAAATTTTTTCTACTTGGTTAGGGATGATGGTAGTTGGTTAGAAATCGGTACTACTATAAGTCATTTTGTTATTAGTAGTTTATTTGTTTTGTTTATGATTTTATTATTTTTATTAAGTGAAGTTTTAGTTGGAAAAGTTATTATACCTGAAGATGAAGAAAAAGAAGAAAAGAAAAGGGAGAAAAATGATTAAGAATGTAATATTTTAATTAAGAATATTTATTAATATTTATTAAATAAAATTATTATTAATAATCTTGACCCAATTGAATATACCAGGAGTCCAGCCATAACACAAAACGGAAATTTATATAATATGTAACTTGATTAATATTAATATTGGTTAATGAAATATAAATGTTATGAAAGAATAAATTACATATGATTAAATGCTGTTACGAAAATTTTATTGAACATTGATCTTCGCATAATTCTTGAGGAAATCATGTATATATTAAGATTTTTAACCCCAGTTTTCTTATCAAGAACTATAACAGTAATTTAATCCGATCAGTATTATCAATTTATCGTAGTATAGAAAACAGCTACTATTTTTTTTCTATTATCCTATTATGTATGGTTTGTGTGTGTTATACTTTATCATGTTAGTGTTTTTAATAAAAAAGGTATAATTTCTGTGATGTAGTATTGAAAGATCATCAAAACACTTGCCAGGTATACTCTTTAATCTATTAATCTATTTAGTAATCTATTTAATTAATCTATTTAATTAATCTATTTAATAATCCTAATACTATTCCTACTACTACTCCTACTCCTAATCGATTATAGAACCTACCCTCCTTGTGAATTCGTGTCTTATTTATATTTTTTAAAAAAAATTTTTAAATTAATAAATAGTAAATTTAATTAAAACTAAATAAGTAAGAAATTAAAATAAAATTCGTAATATACAAAATTACAACAAATAAATTTAAATTCTACTAACGTTTTTTATGGGAAACACTTGGATGTTTATATTAGGAAAAAAACGGAATTTTATGATCAAATCATGACACAATGAGTTCTCTCATATGAGATATATACATAATCTTTTCTGAACATCTCATGCATGAAGAACTTTTCACGTTTGACCTCTATTTTGCACTTCTCTAATAACACAACGTTAACTATGTAAATAATCTGTAATTTCTCATAATTATTTACACGAAAATAACTTGTACAGTATATAAATTACCTCTGCTTACTTAGTTTTGGGAAAAAAAAGTGAATAGTATGAAAGAAATATTATTATTTAGTCTGAGAAAGAACAAAATTCACGTACACAGGATAAGAAATTTAGAAGTTTTTACCTTGAGAAAAAAAAGAAAAATTTTACTTGTATTTACGTACATCTTTGATAAATAAAAAATTCTAAATCCAAAAAAAAAATAATAATGCTCATAAAACTTGCAACTTTTTGTTATGTTTATGAGCAATTGACTCAAGAATATACTGTCAAAAAGATCACAGGTATTACAAGAACTGATAGTGACGATCCAGCCAAGGTTATCTACTTAAAAATTAAGGTATTTATACCTTCAGATTAGAATATTAAAACAACAATTAAGATTTTGAAGTTGGTCAGGTAATCTTCTTAAAGGGAAAATTTGTAAGCTGCCCACTCACGGTTTATGTCTCAGCTTGCTAGTCTTTTCAGCTTTCGCTTCACCAATATTTTATCACAACAAATTGATATATACATGCGTTGATTGGGATCTTACTTGGAAAACTTTAGCTTATGATCCGATCAATAATACGTCTTATACCATGGATAATTTAGCTCATCATTCCGCATTTAAATTCAACTTTTGCTGGATGACTTACCTATCCTGGAAAAATTAAAAATTTTGTGGCCTGATTTATATATTGATAATTTATTATGACGTTCTTGCCTCCAATGATACAAAGATTTGACACATATTTATATGTGTAAAAATCATTGTCAAATCATGCAATCAATTCTCTCCTCATATCAAAATCATCTTTCCCAGAAAATTAAAGATGCAGTCTGTGAAGCTAATAAAGTGGATCCTGCTCTGCATCTTACACGTTTATCGCAACTACTCTGTTAGACCTTTTCTTCCACAAGTTGGTCTGCTCATGGTCTTATGCATGGTTTTATTCTACACTATTTTCCAATATTTTTTCTGACCTGGCAGTGCCACGTTCTTCTATATATAAAGTTATCTCTACTATACATAATAACTTTATTCGCAAGTTGTGCAAACGTGTTTGGAATGCCCGTAACTATGAAAAAGTCACTGGGAACTTCTGTCAATATTTCTACTACTTTTAAAATCCACTCAAAGCCTTCTAATTTGCCTAAGTCCTCATATATACTGTATTTGCCCGTTTCTACTTTATCACCTCTAACCTAAATCGAGCCATCACGTGATACTGACAAGCACAGGTCGAAAAGTGAAAAATCAGGTATCAATCAGTCACAAATCAGTCACCAATCAGATAACTGATTGGTGACTGATTGGTGACTAATTAGCATTTTCACCAAATATCGTCACCAATTAGGCAGTTTTCTAACTTTTGATTCAATAATCAAAAAAAGATGAAATATAGCTCATTGGAATTGTTTCAACAAAACGAATCTAATGGTAGTAAAATTGCATTTCTAGAATTAATACTTGATAAGAATTAAGTAAAATATAAAAATAAAAATGTATCATTTATATTTTATTTAATTTTTTATTAACTATTAATTCTAGAGATGTAATTTTACTACCATTAGATTCTTCTTGTTGAGACGATTCCAATGAGCTATATTTTATTCTTTTTTGATTACTGGATCAAAAGTTAGCAAACTGCCTGATTAGTGACTGATTGATGCCTGATTTTTTATTTTTCGACCTGTGAAGAATTGGATTAAGAATTTGATCGTTCAAGAATTAAATTGGTTTAATCACTTTTCAGATTTTCTAGGTCATCTAACGGTGCTATCAGATAACTGCTCTTCTAGCAGAACTGGATATCGATTTTTATAATGGATGCACTTTTCGTTGTCTGATCAGTATAATTGCATCTACTATGCTTGAAATATAACACAGGGAATGATCTAAGGAGTGTTAGTGTACTGATAATCTTCTTTATTTTAGTTTTTTATTTTTACTTTAATTACTCTTTAGGAGACTATATATAAAGCTGCTTCCTGAAATTAGGGAATTTTACCTAAAGCTCTGAATGGGTTAGTTTGGTCTAGATTATAGATGGTTCAGATTAAAACTGAAATCCGTAAGAACTGAACCAAAAAACTGGCAGTTCAGTTCAGTTCAATCTGATTTTTATAAAAATGCGAAAAATTGAATAGCTGTTCATCTAGTGATCGTACAAAGTTGATCTATATATTATTGGATTTGTTTTGACGAGATGCGTCAAATTGTGATAAGATTATGTCTCTAGCATTGATAGATCACACATTAATTCGCGCTAAATGATTTATTAATAATTGAAATTATCAAGCTATCTATCAATACTAGAGACATGATCTTAGCGTCATTCGATGCATCTCAGTGAGATGAATCCAATGAATATAAATTTGTCTATATATGACCACTGGATAAAATGCTTTTGTTAAAAAAATAATATTATGTTTTAGTAGAGAGATTCTAAACTTTCACTAAGCGATTCGCAACCTTTTTGGAACTTATTTTGATATTTTCTCCAAAATATAATATTTAGGTCTAAATAAAATAAAACTATATCTGGTAAACTTTCAAGTTCCAAAAGGTAAGAAAATAATATATTTTTTTTAATATTTAGTAATTTACAAATGTTTTATTAGACATGGACGTTTTGAATAGCACAAAAAAATTTTTGCGCCATGATAATCAATTAAAAGTCACGTGATTACACTCTCCCCTTAAACTGAACTGAACTGCCAGTTTTTCAGTTCTAATACCTGAACTGAACTGAACCGAATTTTGAGCCAGTTTCGATTAGTTCTCCAGTTTAGTCTAAACCATTAGGAGCTTTAATTTTACCATTTGCCGAAACTGAAATGGTAAAATTAATTTAGGAAAAATACTTAATTCCGAAATGCTAAAACTATTCCAAAATTCTGATTGGCTGTTATAATATCACGTGACCAAAATTAAAATTTTTACTAAAATTATAACTGTATTCTAATACCATAATTCTAGCTCTGTAACGATTTTCCTGTCATATGTAGCTTCGATTTAAGCCTATGTTTACTTTATGTAACATATATACAGTCAACTCTCTTTATAGTCACACATTTGGAACAGTCCATATTTGGTGATTATAAAGAGATGTGACTATATAAAAAATTTCTTATATTAGTATATCATAATTCCGGCCAAAAATTAACATAATTTTGGCCAAAATTATACTTAAAACTTTATTGTATCGTAACTCCTCCAATATTAATCGTAGAGAGATGATCTTACCGCCATTCGATTCGTCTTGATGAGACGGTTCTAATGGTATAAAATAAATCGAAATCCAATCACTAGATTAATTTCCGAAATTAAAAAAA